AAGGACAAGCAAAGGCAAGGACCAGACAAAAGAAAAGCAAATAGACATAACATCCATTTATCCATTCATTCGACATAACGCACGATAAACGAGCTCGAGACCAATCGCAAAAACGAGTGTGGCCGGAAACCAAACCAAGATTCCGAAAACAAAAGAAAACGGGCGAATCGCCCTGATCCGAGATCAAAATTTATATAACAAGGAAGCAAAGAGGGAGAAAAGACAAAGAAAACTGCAAACCCATGTCCATCAACCTCAGCTCCCTCTTTCTCTCTCTCTCTCTCCTGATGTGGACAGTCCGTCGTCGCGCACCAACCCACGAAGTCGTCACCCCGCCTAGTCCTCCCACACCCGTCAGGTTCGCTTGCGCCCACAGTCCGTCGTGGCCCGCGTCAACCCCGCGCGTTCGGCACCAGCTCGTCGGGTCGCCCGACTCCCACTTCAACTCACCTCTTACTTCGCTCGCGAGCCGACCCTCACTGATCGCGCTCCCCGAGCTTCCAACAACTGGTTAAGAGAGCTATCTTATCGCGCGGCCGGAATTTATAGCGTGCATGCATGCGCTAAGAACACGGAATTGCAAGGACTTAGAAAGGAGATTAGAAAAGGGAGCGCCTACGTTCTGCATGGCCAGATCGCGGCGTGGGGGACGTAGCCACTCTCCACCCATCGATCCGAGCATGCAGACCGCGGGCTAACTAGACACAGCGAAATGAAGAAAAGGGAGGGCAGGAAAGACGAAGTTCAAGAAGAAAGATACAGTTACAATGGCGGCCGCTCAAAATTACAGTTACACACACGATTAAGGGCGTTGTCTAATCAGAGCTCCGTTGCAGCCGCAAAAAGCACGGTGCGGCAAAAGAAAATCCTTAATTCCAAAATTCCAAAATTCTTATTTAATGTCGAAAAAGTGAAAAGCACGAATTCTAAAAGGAAAGTCCGAAATTCCGAGAGTCATCGGGGCTCGACAAGATTCAAAAAGAAAATTTCAAAAGAACGAAGCAAAAATTCCCGCGCGGTCTTTCGCACCTAAAAGCCGACAACAGCACAGAAAAGAAGCGGCGTCAACCCTTATTAATCGCACCTGGTCGGCGCGACAGCCACTCAATCAATCATCCCAGGACTTGCCCGACCCTGAATCCAACCATCCGAAAAGAAGCGATGAAAGAGAAAAGACGAAAAAGTGAGGACAGTGATTCAATTCTCCCTCAATCCCGATCACCCGTAATTGGCCCAACCTTCCCAACTTAGGACCCTTCATTGTCATCGCGCAGAAAGTCGAGCGAAACATAAATCGGTTCGTTACAAGTCACTACAGTAACGAAAGGTAAGATGGTGGCCTACAAACTCCGTACGATTGCCTTCTGGATCCTCTGGTTAGCACATAGAGATAGAAGGTTTTGCTCTAAACCCACTTATCAGACTGCTATCAGAAATTAGTTTCGATATTCGGTCCGCCTGTTAATATTAGCAGAACTAAGGAGGAAAAAAGGTCTTAAAATGTGGGAGCAACCCTTTAGATGGGCAGGACTATTGTCTTCGGGCCAGGTATATTTTTCTAGACTGCTATGGGATGAACAATCCGTTATTTGCAAGGTAAGTCTTCTAGAATCTGCGACAGAGAGAAACAAAACCCTTGTATTAAGGATAGATCAGGGATGGTCAATAGACTGTCAAGAGGGGTAGTCTATGTTTTTGTACACGGGCTTTATGCCCTAGCACATGCGGACTCTGCTAAGACTTGCTTAAATTCATGAAGCTGTTCCTTCTGGAAAGGACGCTGGACCTGGTTTCCAGCTTGTTTTCTATTTTTTTTTCCGGAGGACTCTGGACCTGTTTTCCAGACAGTTACCTATATAGGACGCTGGACCTGTTTTCCAGCAACCCGGGTAGAATTGTGAGGTCCCCTGCCTCTGATTGAAGACATTTAATAACAAATCCAATCCAAAAAAAAAAGAAGAAAAAAAAAAAGGTGATAACCAAGGTCACCAGCCCGTACGTACGGAGGTCCCCGGGCAGAGCTCCGTATGTACGGGCGTTCGGGGTCCCGTACGGGGTCCGAACCCGACGGCGTTCGGCCCCCGCCAGAATTTATTTTGGGGCCTAAAAATAATAATTTTTTTTTGAATTGTTTTTTGTGCGTTCTCTATGACGTGATGTACACGTCTGTAAATTTTCAAGTCATTTGGCTAAGTTAAATAAGAATTAAAAATCGCCAAAGATGGCGGTGTCAAAACGTGCTCGCCCACATATTTTTTCACTTTTTACTTTTTGTTTTCACTTTAGTTCGGGGTCTAAACAATTTTATTATTTTTTGAAACGTTTTTAGTGGGTTTTGTATTATGTGAAGTACACATCTGTAACTTTCCAGGGAATTTAGCTATGCCCAAAAAAAATGAAAAATCGCCAAAGATGGCGGTGTTGGAAACATGCTCGCGCACTCACTAAATTTAATTCTCTTTTTATTTTTATTATTAGTATTTATTTTCCATATTTTATTTTTATTTCAAATTTGGTAAGGAATTCGGATGTAATGCGCAGTCAAATCTTGTTTAATTTATTTTTCTCCATAACATATCTTTTTTCAGATTTTTTTAATGATTTTTTTTTTGTTTTTTTTTTTTTTTTGGCTCCGCGTTCGGCCCGAACGGCCGAACGCACCCGTCCCGAACGCCGGTTACCCTGGTGATAACTTAAAAAATAAAAAATAAAAAATGGTAATAATGGGCCTCGCTGCACTACTCTCGAAATGTGCAAAACGAGAGCGAATCTTCCACTAGAATATGGAAAGATGCACGACCATTATTATTATTATTTTTTTATAGAGCTATATTCTTCTCTCATCTATCTCATTTTTCTTTACTAGTACTCATCTATCTCATCCTTTCACTAGTGTATATGTAGTATGGGGGAACTCATCTATCTCATCCTTTCACTAGTGTATATGTAGTATGGGGGAACACCAACCAACCCGGATCTCTTCCCAGCCCACGGGGTAGGTTGGCACCACAGCAGTGGTGCGAGAGCAAGGCTGTACCAGTTCCTCATCACGGTGACGAGGGGTGGGCAGGCATTGCCAATGGGGGAAATTGGCGGTGCTAGCGCCGAGCAATGGCCAGTCACTTCACCTCTCCCTACCACCCCTTGCCCCCCTCCCAACCCCACATTGCGGTGTCTCATGGCCAATATTGTAGCTGCATAGCAACCAACAACATCAACCAAGGTCCTGCCAATGCTGGCTTGGGGGGCCAACGGGTTATCTCTAGCTGGTAGAACACCAAGCTTGCCCAGGCACGTACGTGAGGCCATTGGGGATTGAACCCACGACCTCCTGAATGCAACTTCTGTGCCTTACCAACTGAGCTAGGCCCACAGGCCCGGCCATTATTTTTGTCTTTCGTGCATGTCGAGAGTAGTGCAGCGAGGCCCAATAATGTACTCCGTCCTTCTCTGTAACATAAGTTGAAGTTGGAATGATACAGAGGAGGAAGATTAGCATGGCCCCTGGCCCCCTCTGCAAAGGGATGACACGCATAAATCGAGAAATGGTCCAAAAAAAAAAAAGAAAAAAAGAAAGTAGTCCAGGTTTTTTTTTTTCTTTTCTTTTTTTTTCAAAACATAATGTACTCCAGGTTTTAGCGGAGGATTCCGTCTCATTTCGCGCAGTGCATTTCTAGGGCGAGGTCCCACTTGCAAAGAGGATCGGATTAACCGCCTGAATCTGGACGTGTTTTACCCAGAGATGCAGAAAAGCAGATCTATAGTGAGTTTGTGCACCTCTCCGCAAAGACGTCCAGATTCAGACCTTCAATCCAATCCTGTATTACCTCCTTGCCCCGCTGGAGTAGTGGAGGGAGGCACTATGGTTTTTTTTTTTTTTTTTTTTTTTTTTTTTTTTTTTTTTTTTTTTTTTTTTTTCCTGTTTGAAAGAGCGAGGCCCCCGCAAGCCCTCTCTCTCGCGAAACACACGCACGACACACCGTGTATCTCCCCCTCTCCCAAAACACACAACACGAGACGCGCACTGGCATGCACAAAGGATAAACTCGCACACGTGTGCACGCACGTGGTCCGACACGTGGTTAGACACGTGGTCAGTCACGTGGTTAGACACGTGGTCAGACTCAGACACGTCATCCGTCACGTGCTCAAGCACCAACACGACTGCCAGCCGAGTCGAGCTGCGCCCTGACTCGTCTCTCTCTCTCTCTCTCTCTCTCTCTCTCTCTCTCTCTCTCTCGTTGTACCGCTTCACTGTGGTTGATTTTGGTTGGCTACAGACTTGAGGTAATTATAGTGAATTAAGGGGGTAAGGATTAGCCTTTTTTTTTTTTTTTTTTTAATTAAAGCCTTACGAGTGATAGGGGGTGGTGTTGTGTATCGTTTCTTTTTTTTTTTTTTGCAATTTGCACAACCTACTTGAACCAAGCGATGGTCGCATGTTCAGGTCTCGACCCGTCTTCGGTAGGTGCGGTAGAGTGAAGGAAGTCTGTCTGACTGAAGCCGAAGCCGAAGCCGAAGCCCGAAGCCGAAGCCGAAGCCGCCGTCAAAGCGAGAGCAAAGCGAGAGCCAACTTCCCCCCAAGCCGGTCATCATTGCCCCACTCATCAACCACTGGCAGCGCATTAACGGGTATCCGTTGGCACGGAGGGCGAAGCGAAGCGAAAGCTTGGGGCATCCTCTACGACGTTATTCGAGCCAGGTTCTGTGAACCTGTGTGACCTGGATGAGAACTGTGATATCTAATTTTGGCTGGTGTTCTCCTGTCCAGCTTATCATATCCATAAGCCTATCCATAAGCTTATCCATATCGATATCATTTTTTCTCATTCTATATCTCTCTTATTGAGTCTTATTCATATCGATATCATTTTTTCTCATTCTATATATCTCTTGTGAGTCTTATCCATATTGATATCATTTTTTCTCATTCTATATATCTCTTATGAGTCTTATCCATATCGATATCATTTTTTCTCATACAATATCAAAAACAGGATTCGAATCTGTGACCTTTATCTGCCAGTGGGTGTTTTTTTTTTTTTTAATATCTCCAAGTCAGCTCTTATCATATCCCTTGACACCCTTGTCATATCCATATCTTTGTGCATATCTTACACCACTTGTCCTTATCCCCATATCATATTCTCTTATCTAATATCCTTATGGGAGGGTATCTAATCGATATCATTTCAGAATGCTGAGAAAATGGCGCCTTAATCTTCTTCATGTTATATCACTGTGAATCTTGTGTTAATCAGTGCACCGTTGTGTCTGCCTCTCTCTCTCTCTCTCTCTCTCTCTCTCTCTCACACACACACACACACACACACACACACACACACACACTCACACACACAAAGAGAGAACAGGCCAGCGCGACTCAGCGGCACGGACGTATTAGTCATTTGCTTACGGCGAGCGGATGCAGAGAGCGGGATCCCGACGGAGCGCAGGAGAAGAATCGAGCACACACAGCTGTGGGTTCATAATTGAACCGGGGGGAAGGGAGTAGGGACAGACTCAATCCAGGACCTCTCGTACTCTGCGAGTGGACATAATTGGACGTAATTGCAGTCGAATACACCCGCGACTGGCCGTAATTGCAGGTCAGATACACACGCGGCGGGCCGTAATTGCAGTCAGATACACACGCGGCCGGGCGTAATTGCTGTCAGGTACAGTGCCAAGTGACTACGGTCTAGGAAGCGGAAGAGGAGGAGGAGGAGGAGGAGGAGGGAGAGGAGGGAGAGGAGGAGGCAGAGGAGTGATTACGGCAGGAGGAGAGAGGAAAGACGAGCGCAAGCAGGACGAGGAGGTAGGAGGGTAGGAGGGTAGGAGAGTAGGAGAATAGGTGGGTAGGTAGGTAGGTAGGCACTCTGGTCAAATGGCCTGTGTAGCGGCGGACTTGGCGCTTAAGTTTGGATCCTCTGCCGTGGTCCCTTGCGTCGGCCACGTGTCACATTCTCATTATCACCGTCATTACAATCATTTCCATCATCCTCTCGATCATCCTCATCCTCATCCTCATCATCCTCATCATCCTCCTCCTCCTCATCCTCATCATCATCATCAATGGTTGCTTCCTGTCGCATTATCAGATTCACTCGACGTGTCCTCTTGCAGCCGCACCACCGCCGCTGATGTGTCGTCATTAGCAGTAGCATCTAACACGCGTCTGAAGCGTGGGACCTCGTCTTCTTCTCCCTTCTCCTCCTCCTCCTCCTCCCCCCCCTCCTCCTCTTCCTCTTCCTCTTCCCCCTCCACTGCGTCGTGGTCCTCTCCCTGCTCGTCCGTGAAGAAGCCATCGCTTCTGCGACGACGGCGATGTAGTAGCCGGATCAAGAGGAATGCCGACGCCATAGCCGCCTTAGCCTTGACCTCCATAGCCTGCGGCGATGATCCCGATGGATGTTCCCCGCCGGCGCAGGTAGGAGTACCTGCCGAAGGACCTCCACGTGTCATCGCCGCAGTCGCACCGGACTTCGACAGGTGGAAGGGGAGGTCCTTCGGATATGGTGGTGGACTGGCGGCGGATGACACGACGTGTTGGCGGCAGCCGCGGCACCACCTTCTTCGTCGGAGGGGGTCATTTTCACCTTCACCGACGACGGCGGCGGGGGCGGGGGGGGCGGGG